TAAGCTATGCCATCTGGAAGATTCTCACACTCTAAATCAAAGTGATGCATCCAAATGCTGGACTATATGGATTTGCTCTAATGAACTTATAATTAGCAAATATCGAGTTTAACTTATTAGTAAATGAATATTATATATTATGATGAAACTAAACTGATACCGATTCCCACAGAAAACTTGCCGGACTGTTGAACAAAAGACGAATAAAATCGTTTTACAGTCTCACCTGCAAGCAGTTGCGGGAGAATAAGCGATTTTTGGAAATCATCATACACTGGCACAGGAGTTGACTTAACGACTGGAAGTGGAAGAATATGGGTGGCGAAATATTACTTGACAAAGTAAAGTTGGAATGGTGATAACAGCATTTATAGGAGAAATAAAGATTCACGGTGATTATGGACAAAGACTACTACTGGTGTTCTAATTCTGCAATGCGGTGCTCGGTTGAGGGAATTTGTTTATTGCAGATAACAGTTAGGATAACATTAATTTAGCATATATATAACATAAATCTCACTTGAAACATTTCATCGCCATTCCCGAACGCACACAGGGTACTCAATGGACCAGTTCGTAGTTATTCTTGGTGACACAGCAATTTTCTCTCAGAGGTCTTGTTAATTTTGGTAGTTGAAAGAAACCACTAACCGCACTATTTTGCATACCATTCACAAATATGAGTACTACCTCACAACACTGGCACATTCTGAACCGTAGATTTCGGTCACTCGCAAGCACCGGAGGAACAGTTGTGATTGACAGACTAAGAAAATGTTTTGCGGAACCAAATACAAGACCACGAAAATAGAATGTCAACTGTATGTGTGAAGGTGAAGTTCAAATCAGTCGCGCGTATTTGCACTCAGCACACCTGTAGCCCAAGAGTCTCAAGGATCTGTGACTCAATAAAACAGTCACTTATCGTATACGTTCGATTGTGCGAGAAATTTTGTGGCTGCAAAACGTATGCAAAAATATCAGTGGTTGTTGACTCTAATGAAATATCTTGGACAAAGTATTATTTAGAGCAAACACGAGGAGTGCTCAAGCAGTGTGATACGCTACGACATCGGTCCTGTCTTAAGCTTCCACAATGGCCCTCAAAATAACTCATTGTTTGCGCTCATTCTTTAAAGCATTAATTAAAGAAAATAAAGTGCAAATATATATATATATATGTTCAGAACGAGAATTGAAACAAATAATCTATGTTTGCAGTTCACATCAGTCGTAGTATGGTGGTGACATGACAAAAGCGGAAACTAAACTCCTGGTTCTCACGATCGCCTTTACGCAGTAATTTGACTTGTCTGTAGAGAAATTGGTGTATTCCAGTGGAAAATATCTGGTCCGGAACATTGGAGACATGTGATGAGGAGTAGGAAACCAGTCAGTTTCCAGTGCAATGTGATTGAGGTTCACTTCAAATTACACATGATTCAAGTGAAGTTTCACTTGAATTTGAAATGGCATCTACAATGACGAGCACAGTGGCCTTAGTAGATCGATTCACTTAAGTGGCTGATTACAATATATTGCTAACACAAACGGGGCATCAGCGGATCGTTCACTGTCTGATTACATATGCTTTAATGAATTGTGTTTCAAAATTATATCATTTCCAGAGATGGGAATTCTTCGTGAAATGAAGCTCAAATTCTCAATGGAACTCCTATGTATTCTATATGTAAAAAATGTGATGTTCAGTGGCATTACAATCTACATTCGGAAGTGACTCAATAGGCATTAAACTCGTGTTTTAATTACTGACATTCTCAAACTTCTCACATTTATAATATATTAGGATTGTAAATCTTATTAGCCAGTAGCTAAACGAATAACGGATTCCAAAATGATGTTGGTCGTTGTTGTCGCTGCTCAGTATGAATAGACCGAGGTACACATTATCACTGTTCTTCACCGTTTCACGAGGAAAGGCAAACAACTCATTATTTGACAGGGTATAAAATCGGAACGTATTACCTACGTGAACCTCCCTGCAAATCGTCGATCCCGATCGACTTATCCACTCGTCCCTCGCCGGTCATTCGATCCATCATGGCGGCTGACATGCCCAGGTTGTTCATAATCTGCGCATCTGTCACCGGTAGTGTGAGAGTGATGGGACTGAACAGGGCTTTTGTTGCACAAGCTGTTCGGAAAACAAATGGTGAATGATTTTATATCGGAAATGTGAAAATGGTTAAAATCTGCTCCATATTATGTTTGGTTCTCTATTCGCATGAAGGACTCAAGCTCGGTTACAGTGTTTTAGTCTGATTTTTTTTATATATGGCTGTATTCCGGTCGCTAGGCAAAAAAGTACTATAATTTTTTCACATGCCCAAACGACAGACCGCTCTTCATTTCATGAGTTCCCCTAAAACAAAAACAAACTGCTGGTCAGCAAAATCTCCCACCAAGGGACAAATCAGAACAAGGTCACGCTTTGAATAGTGCTCACCAGTGTAAAAGTCACACACACAGTCCATGAGCATTTGGTCAGAACAGAAAAGGGGTCACTGAGAGCAAGCTATTTCAAGTGCTTTTCGGATTTATAAGTGTTAGCAAATCTGTGTGACACATTGTCGACGCGAACAGATAGGCGCAAGGGTGGGGAATGAGGCTCCCAAACTGAAAACTATCAGTCTGGGTCCCGATAAAGAAAGCAAAAAGTGATTGCTTCCAACACGAGAAAGAGACGGTTACTTGATACACTTTACCATGCATCACCACCGCGCTTCATAATTGTGCTACGTTGTGAGAACTATCTGACTTGTTGACGAAACCGGTCACAGTAAACTGCGCAACAAGGACAATGACCAGTTACGAGTAAGTCAGTGCGTGTTGTCGATTCTTTTATTTTTACTTAAGACAAATAGGGTTGAACAGAATAAAAGGTATGATTATAGGAGAATGAAAAAGGTCGTCAATTGGCTTCCGTAATCGTGGTACAGTTGAATGTGTATAATATCAATCTACACTATGCCGAATGGGAATGTTCAGCAAAAAGTATTTTCTCTGGTTGTATTAGAACACCGTCGACGGGTGAGATCCAGATAATTTTAAGTAGATAAAAGAAAATGTGAACCTCATTTGACTCACTCAAAAAGACCAGTGGACTGCAAGAAACGAAGTCAGCCATGAGGGATTTGTTTTGTTCTTTCAGAGCAGGCATTTGACTGCATTCCAAATGTTGAACCTGTGACACAATTGTAGATAAATATTGTAGTTAGCCTGATAATTACAATCGATACTTCCTCCTAACATATAAATCTGATTGCAATTAGACTCAACTGCAGTGAACAATTGATTCCTCAAGATCAATATTCATATCCAGTCCGTGCTGCGTTTGGATTATCAAATTTCGTATCTCTCTTTTCTCTGCGATTTATCGGCTTTTCGATTGTCTGATTCAGGTTTGGGAGGTTTGCTTACTATTTTCCTGACTTAGTTGGAACAGCAGTAGCAGGGTGATCGGGGTTTGGAAAAAATGAATATCGGAATGGATTTAAACCGGACTAAAAGAATCTTGCCAAGTTTTTTTCATGTCAATGATACATGCGCCACAGAGAGAAAAATATCCATTGCTGGTTCGGACGCTACGCCTAATGGAACTTTGTCCGAACGATATCACGGAATTCTGTTCATACGTTATTGTCAGATCATAATCATTGTCAATTTTTATATACAGTTCACACAATAGGTGAACAAATGATTACGAAGGTTTTATAGAAATGCGATTTCACAAGCTTGAAGATGCGTATCTTGTAAGTGATACAAAACAAAGCTTCATTTTGTGTCTGCTGATGACTATATGGACAAAGGATGACCCGTACCCGATGCATGGAATCGATTCATAAATGCATCCTAGGCTTTGAGATCATGCCACTGCACACCACTTTTGTCATGTAAAACAATAGTTGCAGATAGTAATGCGATGAAAAAAGCTAAGAGTAGCACTTTGGAAAACTAAATCTCATAATGCAAATGAAGTTGATGTAGTCGAAAATCACATCAGAGGGAAGCCAAAAATAGAACCAAGCTTTGTTAAAAAATGGAAAAAAAATCAGCTCTTGTTGCTCCAATCGGCAAATCATTTCTAGTACGATACGCGGAACGGCAAGCTGAACTTAAGCCGCCGAGTCTCTAGCGGTGGTTTTGTGATAATTTGGGATTCTATCTATTTAAAAGGTACGTAACAATTGGTGACTACCAAATGGCGAATTCATGCAGCGGAAATCTCAGTGATTCCCTTCACTTTCCAGTTGCCAAAAATTGGTGGGTTTCATGCTTTTCCGGAAAGGCAAATCCACCATACCCATGATTTGAGTCAGCAAAGTGTGCTTGCATTTTGTTAAAACATCCAGGTAATTAATTGGTTCGCTCACAATCCCGATTTAAACATGATTGTAAATTCGAACAGACATGACAGAAGTTACCAGATGAGAGAAGAAGTCCTTTTGCATGCTCTCACAGGTGACGAACAGATAACATCAAGACAGTAAAGGACAACAGAAAGAGTGCAGCAATTACGGTGAAACCAATTCGGAAAGAAACTGAGGAAGAATGGTTAAAGCCAAGGCAGATTTACAGACAGTGCACATGATTAGTTAAATTTGAGCAATCGATCAAGTCCCCAATATCCGTAACTGTTGTGGATTGCGATGACGTAACAAGACAGAGAACGCGTCGGTTGGGTTGATCATGTGATCGCTGTCGAACCAGTGGCGACTGATAGCTGATATCAGCCTAAGTGTCACGTTCACGCCCGCTTTCTTGGGTTGAGTCATTGCATTTAGCACCTATTTTGGGATGTGTTCAACCATTGGTGAGACCAATATTCTTTCGGTTATACCTCCGTAGGCTTCCTTGTAAATGCAAGAGGAGGCATACATATAGTGATAAATGGGAACAACTAGAATTTGGCCTTTGAATGATGGTTTTAGGAGGCATTACGTGGTGTTTGGAGCTCGCGGGATAGGAGGGTCTTTGCAAATCAGTCCTTAGTGCCATCTAACTCCTGATGAAAAGTATTTTCACTGAGCCAAACTTTTCGCGGTCCCAATTATGCAGCACGGTGCACCTGGTCACCAAGTATTCCTTTTTATCCTTCGGTGTGCTGTAGAATCATTTCGCATACGAGGTGGCTTTTTCGGGATCAGTTCGACTCGGTCAAGCTTATTACAGTTACACGACAAAGCACGGGTATATCAAATTTCATGATCACACATGTTTCAGTTTTCAGGTTGTACAACTATTAACCATGCACTTTTGTGCGCCGGTTTTTGTTGCTGTCTTTTGACTACCCATTCGGATGGAGAAGTAGGAGAAAGACAAGAAGAAGAAGAGAAAATGGAGAAGTTCTGTGGACTAAGGATTCAATGAACTTGAGAAGATGCAAGAACGCCTTTGTTTACGAAACTCGGCCATAGCACTCAGTGTCTCTAACCATTGAGTACAGTGATTCCGAGGTCCCGTCCAGGGTGCCTTACCGGACCTGTGACCCAGCGTCTTGGTGAGGGTTTGCATGCCCTCATACCAGGTCTTAGTTTGACCGTCCTTGGCTTTATTCCACCTACTACCTGCCTCGGCAAACATCATGCGCCGAGGTAACTTATTTGGTGACACGAGGAACACATAAACCAACCAAAGCGACGTATGGAGGTCGACCACTTGTTCCAGTAGACGACCGCAGTTAACTAAAGTTCTACGCCTAACCTCAGCCTTGCTCGTCCTGTGGACCCACCCGATCCTTACAGTGCTGCTTAGACAGTGATGTTCAAATGACGATAGCCTAGTTTTATCCTGTTTTCTTAATAATCAAGCTTCTGCACTATAAAGACGAATTGCAGTAGCCTATACTCAACCCTTTATGGGCAGCCTGATGTTGCAGCGACTCCACAGATGTCTCAAATTGGCAAATGCCAACCAAGCCTTCTGTCTGCGAGCGGACGTAGACATTTCTACACGACTGCATGAACTCGGGATTGGTTAAAAACATTTCTTGAACTAAAATCGGTATTCATTACATTGCAGCGTTTGTTACCAATTTTATTTATGCACAAAGTTGTATGAACCGACCTGGATCATGAATGTCAGTTCGGCTTTAATCGCTCCCGGTGGGGCTGTCAAAGACACTCGCGGATCACTCAGACAGACAAGTCGACCGCCGGATCGTCCGATTTCCACACAGTCGCGTTTCAATCGAGCACACGGAGCAAATGTGACTGCGGTCAATTTCGGCAGACGCACTTCCAAATAGTGCTTTTCATCGACGACCACATCCGTGGTGTGAAGATCACGCCACTGTAACAGATCTGTCTGTTTCTACAACAGCTCGGGGAAAGGTTAGTATAGAACGAGGAGTTATTGTTATTTGTTATCATAAAAGCATTATCGAAAGATAGAAAATGATGGGAAAGCAGTGATAAATATCAAGGTCAATTGTGAAATTTCTGTTGTTGTTAGCGGTGAAATTGGCCGTGTGGAGATCATGCTTTTCTGTAGCTTCAGTATAAAAAACTTCGGAAGTCAAAAATAAATAGTTTTCCTCCATGGTCTAACTAACAGAAATGCCTCTTATAATTATTAGGAAGGAAAAACATTCTCTTCGCACTCTTCAACCGAGCCCGTTCCGAAACATGTAACGACAGAGATTCTCAACAAATTAATCGTATTGTTGTACTGTTATTGTGTTATGAATTTCGCTAAGCACAATTGAATTGTCTGATGATTTCTAACGGCAACATACACATTTGAGCATCCGAACGCGATAATCTGGTCTACTTGTTGTCCACAGTAACTTGATTTGTTCAATGCCTTGTAATATCAGATGGCCGAATAAATTTTATTCTAGTAGATATTAACGAGCAAAGCCTCGGCTGTTGAAAAGCAATCAACTGCGCTATATCTGAATGTCTGAACATTAGGAACCAAAGGTAACTGCCGGTAAGGTTTCTGCGTTGTCTTCTGATTACGAGATTACTTTAAATTCAGTCAAAATGGCATTAATCCGTTAAGCACGAATACATATGAAGTAATATCTATGACTATCTCTTTGTGTTGTACTCTTTCGTTTTTTATGAGAATAGCATACATGTGCGACCCAAATGAAGTAAGCAGCGTGAAATAGATGACCAAATTTTCACCGACGCAAGCAGCGCCGCAATACAAATTGGAATCAGTTCACATACACTATGAGCTTGAAAAACAGGCTCCAGTAGGTGCAAAATTGTTTCGAAGGAAATAAAATAACCCTGAGACAATCACAAATGCCCATATATATATATATACAGGGGACAGCTGTGAACCAAGATTTATTTATTGGCCATGGGTACAATAAAATTGGCGGAAGTCGCTCCGGACCGCTTATTACAATGTCTTCCCGCAGCTGACAGAACCATTCATTTTTACGTACCGCTGTGACCCTTACTCTAAGGAAACCAAGTCCGGTGTTTACCAAATGAAAAAGAAGCCAGTCTAACAACAGGCCAAGTGATTTTGGCTTTTAACAGGAATATACGGTCTGCCGTTGCATGAATATAAGACAGTAAGCGTGTTTCAAGTAGTTTCGATGTCATGGTATCCCTTCGAAAGACTCGTCTTTTTACAATAACCTAGTCACAGATATTACAAACTTTGTTTAAAAAATCCTGTATGATTATTGGTAGTGACGTTATTTCCAACTATTTGAACCATATACCGAAGGCTCATATGCAATTTTGGTTGATGGGTGAAGAGTGAAAAAATATTTAAAATATCCAATGTCGGGTAACGCAATCGTTCAATTCGAGAAGAGGTCCAAATTACCATTTGTCAGTTCCGGGGGATTCAAACGTTGCAGCTGTTTTAGTTTCACTCAGGAATGACTCGTATATATCAGACAAGCCAATTAGATAACGATCGGTTTTTCGTTGATCTGAACTGAATAACATTGCCTTAACGTTTTTCACAGAGAAGCCTACAGTCAGGAAGTGTGCAGCTGGGTGAAAAACAAGGCTCGTGCATCAAGCCTTCATGTTCAAAACAGCGAGGTAATTCATCTAAACTAACTACTTAAGAAGTTATTCGTTCTATCTTTTACACAATGTACTGTACGTGCATAGGTAAACACTGGCGCGCTCACTCGATGACTCGAGTTCCAATCAGAACTTGCTACACTCTGAGTATTTTTCGAAAGATAATCCAGTGCTCATTTGCTTTGGAAGAGGTTTTAAACCCGCCAGTGTTGGTTTTTTCATTTTTGTTTCATTCAGTCCTAATGCGATGGTGAACGATGAGAGCTGTGGCAATTTAGCAAGGTGTGACACAAGTTGGGCTGTCCAATTAAGGGCTACTGGGCTACTAAATCCGTGCTTTGAAAAGTGGTGCTTTTATCGATATGGACACCGGCCCCCAATGGATTGCGGTTTTCATACACCGCCCCGCTGCCTTGCGGGTAAGGCTTTGGCTTCCCAAAGGCTGCGGTTGTGGATTCCTCAAGAAAATTCACCTGCCTTGGCCTGGGTAACCTAAAAGTATTCAACCCACATGCAAATCATTGAACGTCTTTCTTTTTCATAAAGATTATTGTAACATGATTTGTTTGGCACAATCTGGATTTATACGTATATATATATATATACGTATTTTTTTCTCATGTGAGCGAGGTGGGATTGTGGATCAAAGGTAGTAGTAGATATTTGATTTAAAAAGACATCAAATGCCACAGCATTCCTGGGGAGAGGCTAACGATCTAGTGACAGCCGGAATCTTATCAATCACGCGGTGTTATCCGCGGTGCATTATTGAGATCTTATTAAAATCTTATCGATAAATGACGGAACATGCTTCTAAAACTGGGCATTGTGTACTTGGAAAGGCATACCGGCCCCGCAGGGATTCATATTCGTCCTATAATGAACTACTAGAAGCTGGAAGAGTTAGGTTAAATAAATAATGCCGCCTTCTAGACACTTTAAGTCGCCCTCATTTACCTTGATCAGACTTTTCAATTTCGGCATTTTGTTCCGTTTTTTATGTCAGTGAGAGAAAAGAAATAATCAATCAGGGCCCATGTATCAGCTCGCAGTGAACCGAATCAATCTACTGGTCAGAAGTATGCGCAAGTTCAATATTTAAACTGTATCTGTTTATCCAGAATAACCAATATTTACGATTACCCGTTTCGATAATCAGTTAATACATAAGTTGATTCAAAAATATATATTAAACAATCCTTGAGTGTAATTTGATATGTTTGGTAGGCTAACTTTTGAAACTAAATAGTTCGCCAAAAGTACAAGATGTGTTTTGGAAACTTACTACATAAGGGCTACTTTCTGCCAAAGCATTGACGCCATTCGGACCTGCTTCGATCATAAACAGAACGGTCTCTTTGGCCGTGACTTTGTTATAACTGTGCGGGATACCCACAATCCACGGTTCATTTGCCTTTGGAAGGGAAAGAAATTTATATTCCACGAGAAATTGCTCGATATAAATAAAAGCTAGTCTGTCAGAACTACTTGGAACTTCAACAAGGGATGAATGAGGTACTCGTGCTACAGCTTAGCCTATTTGCAGATAGAAAGCTCTAAATAAAACAGCTATTATAGGAAGAAAAAACCTGGTTGATTATTTAGCGGGACTACCGATGACCTTTCAACCTTAACTGAATCGTACAATCCTTTACGCACTTTCACCTGGTTTATATTTTCTATCACGTAGCTGCCAATTGTATTGGCCCTGATCCCTCCGATTCTTCTGAAGTTTTGGACCATCACAGCTAGGCTAAAACGAGACTAGCCGTTCGATCCGGCTTGCTCCCATGGTAAAGCTTCCAAGTGATAAGATCTCATTTTCTTCCGTGGCTATGACATTATGCTCCGCTACCAGTACCTTATTATTTCGGGAAACCCGTGGTCTGATTTGTCTCAGCTAGGTAGACTAAATGAGTCATTAAACGAAAACTGTCCACTGGTAATTCCGAGGAATCGTTTTCCTAGGCAAAAAGGAAAGCAATTTGGATGGATATGAAATTGTATCCCTCAATGCTCTCGACGTCGACCAAATGAGAGTGAGACTTGCTTTGGTCTGATTCGAAACGTCATTACATTTGCGTTTCGTTCGACCATCCGGTGAATTATCTCTGCCGGCATGTGGTCTATCACCGGGTGATAGATGGTTATGAATATTTTTCACAGTATTCCCAGTATTGCTTATTCGAATACTGAACTTGTTATGCTCAACGTGGCAACGACGAATTCTTGGATTATTCATATCCGTAAATGACATCAAAGCATTGCTGACGACAAACTACCGTCATGTTGCGTCATGGGTAATGGGGGTAATGTTTATGAAGGAGACGAAATGTTTCAGCCGGTGTCCTGACCGAATGATCAAAACTACTCATTGATCAAACCCAAAGACCTTCATTGCTGAGGGCGAAAAACTTTGTCTCAGGCATACTGACAGTAGAACTTCAACTAGTCTGATTTTCGAATTTTTGTCTTTTGTGAAGGATACTAGACCGCATTTTTTGGATGGTACGGAAGATAAATTCATTTGCATACACTCGTCTGATCATCAAACCAAATGGAATTCAAATTCGAACTCTCGGCGGTTCAATCAAAATGTCTCATATTTTAATGCAACAGGTGCATTATGCTGATGTGGGCTCAATGCGATGTGGCGTGATCATTATGGAAAATGGATCTCCTGATATTCTCAAGGAAATACAGAAGAAATTTATGCAACCCTTTAATATAAGCTTCATATATCTACATACGTTCGAGAACGACCAACTTTGATCAACTGTCATCAAAGGTGGCACATTGTGCAATCCTGATGCCAGCAGCGAAAATTCAGCGACTGTTATTCAGTTTGCTCTCTCACGAGTCAGTTCATCCGAGTAAATTCGGTTATCCATCAACATCACATTATTCCATTTATCCTTCGATCTTTTCGATCATCTCGATAAGCAACACGGCGTTGATTCATCTAGTCTGCCATCGTAGTGACATTGCTTTACTCGTTTAGCTACATTCCCGTTTTCGAGGTTATGGCCCTATTTTGTTTTAGTTCTGAAGATGCTGATACACTGGTTACCTGGCCAAATGCAGTCTGGAGAAGTCACCTCTGGGCCCTCCCGTAGATTCGTCTTCGTATTCCACGATTGTCTTAGATGAACAGAGGTGCGAAATACAGTCCTTTCATAAGGCTACAAAGAGGAAATTCATCTAAATAGCCTACTGATAAGCGTAGAAGTACTCAGTTACTAAATACGGTGATCAAAGTTGTTTTGTTCCTTATAATACGCACATTAAAGTCTCGGGAAAGAAAAACCGTACGAACACTATGCTGTTTATTCACTACTAAAGCACACAGTAAATCTGAAAATCAAACGTACGTCCCTCCCCCCACTATTTAATACCTCGGAGGGGCCAAGTCGTTTGTCACTGCGTGAGTAAGAACGTCTGTGTGCCTACGAGTGCACTTGAGTTCTTTGTGTTGAACAAATTTAAGAGATTGTACATCACGATGAGCAGATAGGCACTGGATGAGAGAAAGGTGACTAACTGCATTCAACTTTCGGTGCCAACGTGTGCATGGGTCGGAAAATACAGCTAAAATCGACGAAGTGTTTGTAAGTCCACAGTGATTTCCCGTGAGACAAAATATCAGATAGAAACCGGGGTGAATGGCGTCAGAAAGAAATTCAGTCTATGGAAAATGGTCGACAGCGAAGCTGTAACACACAGGATTTCGTAAAACCATGAAATTTTATCTCCCAGTATAATTTGTTCAATCAGAATGTTCACGTTGCAACAAAGACCATACTCAAGTTTTGCACTAAACGTAAAGCGATCATGGAAATACGAATGTCAGATGAAAATATACTGTGATTTAAGGAGTTTGTATAAATCTTGGTGGTTACCACAATATTACTGATCAATATTATTACATTACGCTTTCAAAAGTTTGTCCGGCATTTCGATTGCCTAAAGACATTGGTTTTACACAAGATCAAGGTACCTTACGATATGCCACGGCACCCTTCCGTAATGGTCGATCCTAGTTATGTTATCTGTTATCAGTTTCAGTTCAGTTTATACAACCACTCATCATGCATATTCGTGAGCCGGTTTTGGTTGCTGTCTTTTGGCTGCCCATTTGGATGAAGAATGGAAGGAGACAGGAATGTTGAAAGTTGAAGAGAAAATGGAGAATTTCAGTGGTCTGATATTGCAGAGAAATTGAGAAGATGCAAGAACGCCACTGTTTACGAAACTCAGCCATATCACTCAGTGTCTCTAACCATCGGGTACGATCATTCCGAGGTCCCCATCCAGGGAGCCTAACAGGACCTATGTGACCCAGACCCCAGGTTAGGGTTTTCATACCCTCGTGCCAGGTCTTAGTTTACCCACCCTTGGCTTTTTTCCACCCACTACGTGCTTCGTTATCGTCGACTGAAGTAAAACTGGCTTTTCAACTCTCTCAACAAATGATAACCAGTGGCGTGATTTATCGTTAGATCGCCAACACGTTATCTGGGATAAAATCCATTTTGATCAGCATAAGTTAAAGTCAGTATTAAAGCCATTATAGGAATGGGAAACACATATGCACTGCAATTTGTACGATCCCTTGTGTAAGCGTTTGTAGGAGATTGCAGAAAAACTGGTTCATACAGACGCACTTTGCGTGGTAGGTTGTCTGGTTGAGAATACAAATGTTTACACAATAATAAAACAAGGATTGCGCAACATACTAGTATGGTACTTTTCTTCTTTTGGGTTGGAATAATGGACACAAAACGTCCGATAATTTCATTATGTCCACGGATTGCTGGCCACAGAGCAAACGGTTCACTGAACACGCACTGAATGCCATTTTTCTTACGCAAACAATCTTTCGGAGCTCTCACATAACATATTTCCTCACCGTTGGCGGAATAGTATCTGGCGCAGGGTTAGATTCAGAAAGAAAAAATATTAATTTGTGCATTGTTCACCTCAACGCCGCTGAAAAACGACCAATCTATTCTCGTTAGAATACATTCCGATGGAAAGGCTCTGAAGAACTGTATAACATTTGATTTGGGTATAATCGGAAGGTAAGCAGTTTAGTTGCTAAACGGTATGACTGACTGATTTATGTGACATTTTTTGATCTGGTCATTTAAAAATTGGAATTATCCAACTGTGGCCGGTTTTACGTTCAGTAGTCGGGAGGTGTTAAATGTCGAATCCCTTAATAATTTGGCACACAAGCAAAAAAACATTCATCGGCTGCCAACGCTTACACCCAAAACTTTGGGGTCAATCGATAGCCATATCCTTAATCCACAAAATGAATACTATTTCACTGTTTTTGAAGATTAACTTATATCGATCAGTTTATAATTAGTAAAACCGTCAAACCCATTGCTTCCATTTTGATGGACAGTCTAGTAGATTAGATCAAATAGAAGGTTTATTATTCGCATTTAACTCACAGTTATTTGTGAGTAATTGTGTGGGGTAACTGATATTGAGTGATTCGAACTGACTATCCTTCGGGCTTTACCTTTCGCGCACAATCCTCAGTTCATCGATTCAATCATACACATGGAAGCACTACACCCAAGTTTCGCTGTTATTAGGGCGCATCAGTAGTGCATATCCACTGTTCTGTTCGGTTTTGAACTCCGAACCCGTCGCATGGAAGGCGTGTGTGTCACCACTGTGCCAACCAGGTCGTTCCAGGACTAAACCGATTTGAAAATTCGTGTTTGTTCAGGTGTCGTCTTCGGAGAGAGTCAGTCATCGAAGGGAGACACAGTTGACTATCTATTAACTCCAATCAAAGCCTCCAACCAAATCAGATCTTCCATTGAGGTTACGGCCTGATTTGCCACAAACCACTAGGCAATTCGGTTTAGCCCTGGTATGAGCTGGTTCGCACACTGGTGACACACACGCCTTTCATACGATGGGTCCGGAGTTTAAAGCCCGGACGGGACAGTAGATACGCACTACTGATGAGCTCCAATTGGAGCGAAACTCGGGTACAGTGCTCCCATGTGTATGGTTGAATCGATGAACTGAGGATTGTGCGTGAAGTTAAAGTCCGAAGGATGGTTAGTTCGAATCAGTCAAGAAATTTTATTGTTACTAAAACGAAGGCACCAAGCTTGCTTTCAAGCCGATGATAAATAAATATACATAGAGAGAGACTAAAGGTAACTGCATTAGTGTAAGGGCAAATAGACGCACGATAGTCACCGTGCACGACTTTTGATCAAAATATTTAATGATAGGTTAGATGCACCTCTAGGTGACTAAAAGAGACGTTTGACACAAATTACTCTTTCGTGTCCACCGGTACAAGTTCCCACTGCTTCAAGCCAATTCATCGTCTGACCACCCCTGATTCGTTTTTAATCACTTCGTACTTCGGCAAACACCAAATGCCTGAAGAATTCTGACATGGAGATATAAGCTCCGACCCGTTCAGTCTTATGACTGCAGCAACTAAGTCAATGTATCACTGTGTCAAATTAGGTATCGTCAAATAAAGCCTAAATCTGAGAATTTGATTTTCTCTATTCAAAAGAATTTTCTTGATTCGGTTATTTTCTGCCAAACGTATCTTACAAACAGTTATTCAGGAGATAACCGGTTAAAGTTTTAAAAATCTAAAGAGAAAAGGTACAATTGTGTTGTCAAATTTTCGAATAAAATAAGCTTACGTATGTTTTGGCCAAAATTTAATTAGTGGTCTTTGTGGCTTTGTGCATTCTTCCTCACTAGTTTGCACGAGAGAATCCTTCGTAGATATCTCAGAAGATACCTGTGAACTACTCGATGATGGGCGCAAGGGGATTGTGGAATTATGTGACCGGGAAATGGTGAACTCCGGAAGCTGTTTGACTTCCATTTCCTGCGTTGGGGAGCCAATAGATACAGTTTTCTCATTTAAAGGTGGAGCTGCATTTTGCCCCCCGGAAAGTTTGGACACCAGTACCGCATTAGATCGCAGTTTGGCCTCAGCCAATTTGGTCTCAGCTAATTTGAGTGCGGTATGTGCTTCCCAAACCGCCTTGCTTGCATCCAATCGCCATAGGGCCAATGGACGAGCCACATTGCCCAATTGTTTGCTGTATTCAAGCTGCTTTTCGGCTGTCTCCACAAGCAGTTTTGCTCTCTCAACCAAAGCTTCCGTAGCTTGAACTTTATCCATTCCTAGGGGGGAGAAGGTGATCAGAATACAACTAACTAAGTAACATCAAGCCAGACGAACTTTTGAGCACCCGATTGAATTAAGGTTCCTCTTTATCATACCATTGTTGCGTGAATACACATTAAGACATTGTGCAGAATAAAATAAAATAAATCAGAATATAGCCGGGCGGTTACACAATTCTGTGCGAAATCTCTCATTGTCGATAAGCGGACGTGCAACATATGACAAAACGAAAATACAATATTCCGAGTAAATTGAAATTCGAGCTTATGGGGTATGTGGGTGAAACCATTGAAAGCTTTTGTCTAATAAATGATGAGCATCTGAGAGTATTTTGCGGATATACCGACAAGAAGCTTCCCAGTTCGCGCAGCCGTCCTATTGGAGACATATACGGGTTCTATTCGAGTCCTGTCCGATTCCCATGGGACTCAAGTAGGACTCGAATGAGACTCCATGGGACAGCTCCCAAAAGGACTGCCTTGAATTCTATTAGGCGTTGCGTACATTCCTCCAAGGTCGCACGTGCTTGCTTACTTACAAACGAAATGAAATGTATCTAAATTTAATCCCTACCAAAGTTCGTTTATCGTGCATCACCCTAATCATTTAATAACGAAATCCACATATGACGTTTACAACCCGAACCGCCGACTTCAATATAAGAAGTAATACAAAAGGCACATTGAAATGTGCATTTTACATAAAAGCTGTACAGGTTTTATTCATTGACCATCAGACAAATCTTCTGATTGGTTTTCTTTGTTGTGCTCTCTTCTGTGTCTTTTCCCGGGCCTTCTGAATCTATCTTTGAATTCGCTCACATACTTTGACGTGCGTTTCACCCGAGAAGTCCTTTTTCATTGTGCAATCTACTTATTGGTACACAGTTAGACAACACAGCACGCTTACTGACCACCGACTTCCCACCATAAGTAGATTCCATCTCATATTTGTTGTTAGCGCCAAACATACGCAAGAAAAACTAGTTCATTTAAGCAAACTGCGAGCCGATTTAACCGCTACTGAAATACACAGTTTCAATGATTTTCAGTGTTTAATTTATCATTCCAGTAATTTATTCGGTTCATTTGTCGAATTATATAAAAATTAAGTGTGTACAGTCCCGACGGGACTCGAATAGGACTCAA